TAGACCTTAGGGCCTTTCTATGTACTCTAGCACTTCATGTGTACTCTAGACGTGTACCCTATCACTGAGCTACATCCCCAGCTCACCTCTTTTTTAAAGGAGGTAAAATTATGTCTAGCTACCTGTCCCAACACAAATGCATTTGAAGAACATTATGCTCAGTGAAATTATGTTGGGTCAGTTGGAGGTAAGGTCTTTGAACAGTCAGATTCATAGATAATGAGAGAGTAGTAGATGGCAGGGCTAGGGATGAGAGGGAGATCAGGGAAGTGTTATCTGATGTGTGCGGAGCAGTTTTTATTTGTAATGATGCAGAAGTTTAGGGTAGGGATAGTGAAGACACTTACATAGTTTTGTGGCTGTACCTGTGGCTGGTAGATTGCACACTAAAGAACAGTTGAAATGGTTAATATTGTTTTATACATTAAAAGTCTCCCCCACTATACCTAGCTTTTCCATCGAAAAAATACCTTGACTCCCTAATTTTGACAACTCATCTGTATCCAGATCACTTTTTTGTATTGTTCTAACTCTACTGAACCCCCTGAATGCCCCTCTGTTCTCTTTAAATGAGTAAAGGACTGCCCATGGGTCAAGTGAGATCTTGGGAAGAAAGCCCTTTACACATTTCTTCCATACTTGGTTTCATTACAAGTGTACCTGCCTGGCCCTCTGTGTAAGAGATGTTACCGGTTCCCCTATTTTATTTTTGGTTTTGTTGGAAAACTTTGCTTAAATACATACATGAGTGTTGCACGGCGAAACGTAATGAGATTCGGGTGCTGAGAAAGTCAATGGTTTTGCTGTTGCAAGAATATGTAGTGTGAATAGGCCACAACCTGTCTGCTGAGTAATTAACGTATTATAGGAGCAGAAGAAAAAGTAATAAGGAAAACTGGTCCCTCTTTTCCTGAACATGGGAAATCTTTCAAAAGAGAAATCCTTATTGAGTTTGTCTTTCCTTAAATTAATTCTACTCTGTGGCCTAGTTCCTTTTATTCTTCAAACTATTATGAACCACATCTGTGGAATTCTGTATGGGCTATTCTGAAACCAGCTGTTGCCAAGAGTCTTTTACTTGAGTTGAAATTAAGAACAGATTTAAGGGTCGTTTACCTGCTGTGAAGTCCTGATGTAGTTACCAACAATTGCAAATGGTGAGAAAACGTGATTGTCCTTGCTTAAACGGCTAGTATATCTTCTATAATACTTTTGCCTCAGATGGGAATCTATGGTAACTCTAAGGTGTACCATATTATTTGTTAATATAATGTTTGTTGTTGCTCAAAATATACCTAACAAAAATGAGTAAAACAACATCTGTGCTACAATAAGAATAGTGTATGGGTTAATGTGAACGCCCCACCCCCATAGAAAACAAGAACAGAATGTTAAAAATGCTGATTTCATGAGAAAATTCTCAAGATTTTCACCATGGGAAAAAATGAGTAAGGCATTCTCTATCAAATAAAATGGGTATATTTACACAGACTCTAGGTATGTATCTTTAGACTGGGATATGACAGAGCTGAACAAATTTTCACAAATGTTTGAAAAAACATGAAGAGTCTCCTGGTGATTGAGCAATGTAAATTACAGTTTAAGTTATCCTGTGTATAAGTAACTACACAAGAGAAGGCTTTTCAGTAAGAAGCTTTCCCAGTTTAAATATGGCAGCATATGGGTGTAGGTTCCCTTAGGGGTGATTCTGTATGTGTGTGTGTGTATGCGTGTGTGCATGTGTGTGTGTGTGTGTGTGTGTGTGTGTGTGTGTGTAGTACTCATCACTTTCAATACATTGAAAATTTAAGAAACAGAACTGAGACAGTTTGAGACCAGGATTTAAAGTGTTTTATGAATTAACTTCAAGCAGGCTGAAGCCACTTTACGTAGGACTCTATAAAATGTAATCACAATTTTGCTGCTATCCTCTAATGGGATTACCATGTGTTAAATTTCAAGTTGACTCACCAAACGGATGTGCTACTCTTCCCTTCCTCTATATTCTGTCTTTCCTTTTTCTCTCTCCAGAGTCTCAGTACAAACCATTCTCTGAGTTTAAGCCCGAAAAGATTTCAGGAAAGAACAGCAAGTTAGTGTTTGGGATACTATTTTTGGAATATAAGTGATTAAGTAGCCCATTTCTACATGTAACATTACCCACTGCCATGTAAAACACACAATACTTTCTCAGAGTTATCCATAACGCCCTCTGAAATTTGTCAGTGTGAGTTCAGAGAGCAAAAGACTGCTCCTTGACTTGGTACATATGTCATTCTCTTTTCTTAGACATAATTTAGAAAATCCTATTCACAGATAGAATTAATATAAAGAGGCTGGGAAGATAGCTCAGCCATATAAGTGCCTGCTTGGTAAGTGCAAGGTCCCAAGTTTGATCTCTGGTACTGCAATTAATAAATAAAGATTTTAAAAAGAAATAAAATAAAATATTTACTAATAAGTAGTGTACTGAACTACCTAGTCATGACACTTAAATTTGTCAGTATGCATAGTTAATACATTTGTTTTAGTTTGTCTGGGAGTCCATGCTATAGCTAGAGTTTCAATTTAGGCTTTCAGACAGAAAAGACGGGGGTGGGGAGAGGTTCTTTTTGTTTTTCTGTTTGCTTTTTACTCTTAGCTGTTCACTGGGGTACCTGAGAACCTTTCTTACTAAACACCCCATCACAGGACACTATTATCAAATTACTGGAAGGAGCAGAGTTCTAAATGCTGAAGAAAATAATACATTAGACAATAGCAAGGGAAAACAAATGTTCTCCTCCCCATCTATTTCATCAACTAGAATTACTGTTTTGAAGTTTTAAATATCTAAAGATCAACCATTATACTGTTGATTTTGTCCTGCTTGCAAGTTGTAATTTGCCTAAATATTTCAAAATAGACACCCACAAATAGGGAATCCCAAGGGCTTATGTAATGTGTAGAAATAGCGTCCTAAATCTTTAATGGCTACTTTAGTTGCTTGAAGGTACTAAACAGTTGGAATGTTGGCAAAGCTAAATACAATGATAGGAATATCATGTGAAGAAAAAGAGTAGTATGGGAATGCTTACTGAACATTTATTTAACTTTCATACTTTCTGGTGTGTAGAATAAACTAATAATGGTGCATTGATAAACAAAGACCAGTGACTCTGTCTACAATCAATATAAATACAACTCAACCTGGTGATGAAGTGTTGTGGGCCCTCCAGCTGCCCCGTCTTGGGTCTGCCACACTGGCACCAGAATTTGACTTTTGTACGTCTATCAAATTACATTCTCAGATTTTGTGTGCATGGTAGAGAAATGTGGAAGAAAGGAAATGGTTTAAAAGCACAATATTATTGTAGACAGACCAAGCCCTGAGTGAAATCACATGTGGGTGATTTAAGAGAGGACCCCTAAGCATGCTTGAGAAGAGAGGTAAATCATGAAAATTTTACCATTTTATGTGTAGGAGTCTGGAAGTTTTCCTCATGGCTCACTGATCTAAGTTGTCAATTTTCAACACATGGAAATTATTAGTGCGACACTAGTCTGAAATTAGAACCAAAATGCGGATGAATAATATTTACTCCATCTTCTCAGATCTGTTTCAAAACAGTACTAAATAAACTTTTAATCTATTTTGGAGTTACATAGGCATATATATGATGTCTGTGCATGTTATTTACGGAATTAGTTGAATGGGGGATACTTTTTTGGTGACTTTTTATTGTGTATTGTAGTGGCTTGTGGGCATTTCAATACTTTTCTGTGAATCACACTTAGGCATGCAGGCTGAAATCAGCAACACTTGTCCATGACCCTCAACACGCTTGCTTTGCAAATTAGTGCCGATCATTAATCACACGGAGCTTACATTTTATGATTCGTGTATCCTTCCTCGCCTTCTTCCTCCCGCTCTGACCCCCCTCCTCCGCTGAAACACACACAGAAACACGACAACATCTCTTACACACGAGGAATGGCCCCGTGCCCGACAGCCAGCTCTGCCAGGATACAAGCACTGTCCTTTGCAGCTCTTCGGTGCAGGAGTTTCAGTTATCAGTGCCATTACGTGTGTGTGTGGAGGGGGCACGCCACACGAGGAGAGTGCTGGACACAGAGAATACCCCTGTAAAAGGTAACACAGAGAGCGCGGGGCTGATCGTTCTTCAGAGCCACGCTGGGCGCCTGGGCCAGACTCTGCCTCCACTGCGGAGTTATCACGCGGAAAAGCAGAACAATATGGCTAAAAGCCTGGTAGGAACAGATAGTATTGCCCCTCCGCAGGCTGCGGCGCCCCTGGCCTACGTCACCGCGGATCGTGGGGCGCGCTACCCTGTCCCTTCCCCTCCCCCCTCTGTTTTAACTCCTTTCCTTCGACCTTACCCCTCCCTGCCAAGTACCAGGAAAGCTTCTGGAGTTAAATTAAGATTTCTATTTCCATACTAAATTTATTGCAATGAGCCGCAACCCGCGGAGAGTAGTTGAGGTGAAGAAATGAAGTTTCAAGAACAAAAGCAAAATAAGTGGAACTTATAAGGATACAAGTAAACACCACCGGTGACAACTGAATTCAAACTCCACTTTGATCAGTAGTTGTTCAGTCTTTCCAGGGCACCCTGGAAAGGCTCTGGATTCAAGACTTCCGGGATTGGCACTCCATCCTAACTCCCCAAAGTGTTCCTAGGAAGTTCAGTGAAAGCATATGCCTCAGGGACCCTCGTGAGGGTCTCAGTGCCCAGGTTCCAGAGCAGGATGGACCTGCATCCCGAGCACGTCTGCACGTATAGGAGCGTGTGTATGTGCGTGCGCGTATAAACAGCCTCCAGGAATTGGAGCCCAAGCAGCCGGAGACCTTGGGAAGAAGGGGCGACCACTAGCCGCCCGACTCGTGATTCAGTGCTATTAGGGGAAGGATTATCCGAGGCTGAGTCATCGCGAGCCTCCAGACTTTCTCTGCAGTGTGGCAGAACTTTGCGCTGATGAGACAATAGTGGAGCGTGTGCGTTTCCTACAGGGCAGACCATTCCCGGGCTGGGGGAAGCCTAGGGCCTGCGCTGGGCCGCGGGAGCCCGACCCCCTCCTCGTACCGCGCAGCCCTGGGATCGGGGCTGGCTCCCGGGCCCCTACCGGGCGGGCGCGTCCGGAGCGCGCGCGGGCGACGTGGGGAGTGGGCCGGGCGCGTGGCGGGCCCCGCGCGCCCTCGCGCGTCCCCCGCTCCTGGGCGCAGCTGGCGCGGTCGGTGTAGTGCAGCGCTGGGCTCCTCGCCGCGGGCGCTCGGCTTCACCTTCAGATGCGCGGGGCGTGCGCGTCCTCCACCCCGGGTTCGCCGCCACCCCGCCAAGGTAGGGGCCACGGGGCTGGCGCGCTGCGGGATCCGAGTGTGGGTGGGGGCGGGAGGGCTGGGGAGCCTCGATGTGTCCAGGACCCTGATGTGAGCCGTGGGGCGGGGGCGCGCCGCAGAGAGACTCCTTGCGTGCGGGGAGGGCGATTTGGCTTTCCCTGTTGGTAGTTGCCTTACACTGCAATTCCAGGACAGGGGAAGATGCAACTTCGGGCGGCGGGGCGAGCGCCCTGGAGGTGGCTTTTTACCGCAGTGGAGAGGCGGGGTGGGGGCCGGGGTGGGAGCGCGGAAGAGGCTCTGGCTTTGTACACTTCGTCAAAGGCGTCGCGGGAGGAGGGGAGCTCGGATGCGCTTTCCATCCATTAGGAGACAAAGAGCAAATTGCCTTACTTTAAAGTAAAACGCTCCGGCTAATGAAGGTGGGTGATGGGCTGCGGGGCCCGAAGAGCCGCTTCAATTATTAAGGGTTTGGCGGATGGGATCGATGCCTGTGGGCACCGAGCGCTGCTGCCTAGGGGGTGTGTTTGCGTGTGTAGGTGGGGGGAATATTTGCTATACCCTCCTAGGGCTTTAGAGTGACCCCAACATTAAAGAAGTGAGAGCTTTGGGAAGGGAAGTTTGGGGTGGGTGGGGGCGGGGCGGGGGTAGGTTTTCTGAGTGACTCCGAGTTGGGGGGGGGTCTGGACGGCAGCGACCCCTCAGAGACGCACCCAATCTTGCTGGGGTCACCGCAGTGTTGGGGTGGGGGCGGTATTGATGGCGGTATACGTATATGTATATATATATTACACACACAGACACACGCAGACACACACACACACGAGTGTATAAAAGAAAAGAATGCAGTGGGGTGTGTGCCTGGTGGGGTGGGGATTGGAACGGCGCCTCTGCCATTTCCAGGGAGCACTATCAGACTGAATAGTTACGATCAATATTTAGATTAAACCGCCTCAAGTTTTAAAGAAACTTTGTATGAATAAGTTTAAAACCCAGCTGAGTGGGGTATTTAAACCAGAGGTTTATGGAGGACAGTTGGTGTGCGGTGACGACCAGGCATTGTGAGCCAGGAAGCCAGTGGATTTCTGCAATTAGGGACCCTAAAGAATCGGGTTTTTACCCGAAAAATGTGGGTCTGTAAGTCAGCCTCATTTATTACCAGCGTTAATAAGCTTCCCGGAGCCGACCAGGATCAGCCCAGGAGCTCTGGGGTTGTGCTTGTATCTTACTCATTCCACCGGCTTACTGATAAAGAGTCACTTGGTCTCCGGGTGTGCAGACATCAACTTGCTCAGCCCTCTTTTTAAATATATTCATTCTGTGCCTTATTTAATCCAGATGCACAAAAAGCCATTTGCTGCCTCATTGTTGGTTTTCGTTTTTTGAAAAGGCGACTGGTGTAACCTGTGGAATTTGAAATGCAAATAAAAGCCTGTGGGAGTTGAGGCAGAACAAATCAGCATTTATAAAGTGAATAAGATTTAAGGTCTTTGAAATCATTGCAGGGGAAGAAAACTGGAGGGGGAGTGTGATTTTCTTTTTTTTCATGGAGTTAATTGTGACGTCAGGTCTTTTTGGAAAAGATGTTATTTTTAAGGTCTCGAAACCCTGGTATGTAAAGTGCTTACAGGAAAAACAGATTACAAGATTAACATCTGTTAACATGGTCGTTTATCTCCAGCCAAAAATAGGTCAGTTCTTTCTTAAGGAAGCATGATTGCTAGCGCATGCTTAAATAATAAAATGAAAATAATGAGTTCAAAAATTAGGGACGGGCGTTTGTTATGATCTGACCTGTGATAAACATTTTTTGATTTCGAAATCAGTGTGAGGTCGAAGTCTCTTTTGAGTGTTGAGAATAACTCTACCCTGCGTCCACCCCTCCCGGATGATCCCCTCCTCCCAGCTTGTAGCTCCCTCACCAGCCAGCTAATTTCCCTTTTCGTCCATTGTGGAAGTATGATATATTTAAATGGGTCTCGTTTGACGCGCTCCCTCCCCGCGTTAAGAAGGCAAACTCTCCCCGTGTAGATGACTAACTTTCAGAGCTCTGCTGTTGTTTTATCATTATATGAAACAGCAGAGAGGAGAGAGAAAAGAGAAACTGCTTTCAAAAGTCTCCCTGCCTTCTGGGTGTGAGTGACGGCTCTCCTGGCCAATCCGCAGCGGCTTTCTCCATCCCGGAGGTAATTTGGTGTGTGTGTGTGTGTGTGTGTGTGTGTGTGTGTGTGTGTGTACGCGCGCGCGTGCGTGTGCATGCGTCCGTGTGTCTATACACTTAAGTCCCACCAGCCAGCCCGGCTAATCCGCAGGCGCCTGCATTTGCACAGATGTGTGATGTGAATGTGGACACGCTTTTATCAAGTCTGTCCAGCTAGATGCGCACGCAGCAGTTTATGTGAAGACCCTGCCCCCTCCGAGTGTCCTGTAGTGAAAAATGGGCATCAGAGGCAATTTCAGATTCAAGTCGAAACCTGCAGAAGGGGAAGAAAAGAGGAGCGATGTGATTATGCTTCTCAGCAATTGAGGAATCGAAATGTGCAGCTTCGTACGCCCCTGGCGCCTTTGGGCTGCGAGCGATGGAGCCCACTGGCCAGAAGTAAAACGTGTGAAGAACGAGGATTGTTGAAACTGATGTTAACTCTAGAAAACCGAAGGCAGCCTGCCAACTTTACACTTAATTCCTCCCTGGAAGTTGATACTCAGTCGGTGGCAAATTCTAGAACGCGAACTGATCGCAGCCACTGGAAGTTTGGTGCCCACCCCACTTAGCGTGGTGCCTTGCCGCTCTGCCCCGCACAATGCGCATATTCGTAGGTGGCGTCAAGGGCCACGCCACGCTTTGTAGAACTTCATCTCCATCGACTTCCTGGGAACGTCGGCGGTAAAGTGGTTAGTGTAGCACGCGTTTTAGGACGCGCGCAGACCAGATCGGGACCAAATCCCCTGTTTAAATGCTGGATATACAGTGTCTAGGGGAGCTCCGTGGGTTGCTATGCTTCGGTCCCCATCCGGTTGGTGATGATGCAATGGTGTGGTTAAGGATCTACGTGTCCCCTCCCCCTCCGGGAACCCCTGCAGGTGGGCCCTGTAGGACTTGTGCACACAGGGGTGTGCGGGTGTCAGGTCGCTCAGAGGTCACCTCAAGGGTCCCCAGCACCCCACACCAAATCCATTCCTATCCAGTTCGGTTCGGAGGTGATGTCCGTGTCTCACCTCTCCACCCACGCGGGCCGTTTCCGCCCTCCCCTGGCCGGGGTGACAGCGGATTGTCCCTCCCCTCAGCATGGGGAGTGGGCACGCGGCGCCTTGACTCCTTCCTCAACCAGAGTTTCCCCGCCCCGGCGGGTGGGCGCGGTTGGGGGGGGTCCCGCGGGGGCGGCTCGCTCTGGGGGCGGGGCACCTACCTGCCCGCCCCGGGGTGGGGGCGCGGCCGCTTGTTGCTGGGCTTCCAGGGGGCGGGGCGGAGAGGGAGGGACGGGCCCCCGCCCCCATCCCTCGGCGCCGGCCCCCCGCCCCCGTCATGTGGAGCGGACGTCACACGCCTGCACTGTAACCCAAGAAGTGAAAGAGACTGGGACCCACAGCCCAACTTCGTACCGTAACAAAGAGGGGGTCGGTGTGGGCCTGGGGCGCGGGCGG